ATACTTGCCCTCATGTACTAGGACTTCAAAGTTGTTCCTCATACTTTGAGCATTAGTGTATAGGCATCTGAGTCCTTTTTGACTGAACTGGATTTGCTTCCTACATCTCCTATTTTGTATCGTGAGTTCTTCGTCTTTCTTATTACTTGGTTGATTGCCCTAAGATTTATGCTTGGAATTAGCTCCTAAAAATTCATCTCCCTCTCATTCCAGTTTTAGGATAAGGTGAGCCAATTGATTTCAAAACATGTTCTTCCTGGTTCTTGCGAAGTGTGGCTCACCCCCCATGCAGCTATTGTAAACTGTGGTCTCAAAATCCAAAGTTATCTCAACAGCACCATCCCCTAAGTCAGTGGTTTGCTTCAAAAATTCTGTGCTCTCTCATTAGACTTTTCATTGAGAGTACAGAGAAAAACACCACCACTTGTGCCACCATCTCTTTGGCTTTCATGGCTATCTGCTCATAGTCTCTTTATATTGTTTTCAGGTTCTTTGTCACATCATTCGTCCCCACATGAAAGAGGAGAAAGGGTTAATAATCTATGGACTTAATTATTTTAGTAAGCCTCTCAGTCACATCTTTGATCTTTGCTTCTGGGAGACAGCAAATCTCCCTAGACAGATTGTCCAGTTTGCAAATTACTAATTCAATTCCCCTGAGTAGTGAGTCTCCTATCACCAATACATGCCATTTTTTCTTGAGGAAGTCTCTATCTACTTTTTCCCTTTCATTGATACATCTTGATGATGTCCCTTCTCCAGGTGTCTGCATGTTTTCTTCCAAGGAAAGGTTATAAAATTGATTGTTTAGTTCCAGTGAGGCTGGACTGAACTGGACTGGGTTGGATTTTTTTTCCTCTATGAATAACATGTCACTATCTATCTATCTATAAAGTTCATTTTCTCTGTTAGTTAATTGTTCCTTATTGTGTTCAGTTTGATGGTAGTCTTCTTTCTTTAGTTGAGTTTCTCATTTTGGTGCTTGAGTCTCAGTGGCTAGACTTTTCTCTAGACCAGGGGTCTTCAAACTTGGCCCTTTTATGACTTGTGGACTTCAACTCCCAGAATTCCTCAGCCAGGCATGCTGGCTGAGGAATTCTGGGAGTTAAAGTCCACAAGTCATAAAAGGGCCAAGTTTGAAGACCCCTGCTTTAGACCATTTGCGTTTTCCTCTGGACCCTTCATTTTTCCTCAAGATTTTCAATTAGTTTACATTTGGTACAGATACAATTTGGGTCCTCAATAGTAAGAATATAAACATGGCACATATTTTGCAAATCATAACAGTGTTACACTTTTTTTGATAATTGTGTTTTTTCATGACTATATTGCTGTAATTTCAATACAGTGTCCCTTCTTTTTTTTAAAAAAAAGTTTAATGCATGGTTTTATTTTTTTTAGGGCCTTTCTCAGCTTGCAATTATCATGACAGGATATAGGAAAAATTGTAGACTTATAAAAATTGTAAGAATTGTAAGTTCAGTAACAGGATCTCTTCTTTTAGCAGAATTCTAATACTTTGTAACTTAATATAATTTATTAGTCTTTAGTTTCCAGGTTTCCTGAAAATTTTAGAAATGTTGAAAATATTATTTTAAAAAATCAAGGTGTAATTAATGATTAAAAAATAAATATATTTTCATTCCTTTTTTCTCATTTTAAAAATTATAAAAATTCCAAGACCTAGATTTCTTCTAATTTAATAAATGTAAAATGTATTTAAAATTAATTTAAAAATTCAATTAAAAATTGGTTTTTAAATGAAGATTGGATTTATGGAGAGTTTTAACCTCTTGAGTTTAATGCTGAAAAGATACTACGTCAACCCCTCTTATAGCTATTATTGAAGTAAAACAGTTTATACTTCACGGCTCCCTCTTAACTTTATTTTATCTGAACTCTTCCTTCTCCTCCACTCTGAACGCCTGTCGCTCACTGTTTTGCAGCTTTCTATTGCCATTCATGTCTCACCGGAGCTTAAGTGGTGGTGGTGGTGGTGGAGGAGGAGTAAGTAAGTAAGGAGCCCATCTCATGAGTAAGGAAGCCTCCAAGGGCTTGAACTCTCCAATGCAGCAACCTGCCTGTCCCCCTTGAAAGTTAAAAGCCACCCAGTGCACAAAGTATTGCCCCATGGCGAAGTGGCCAGAGCCAGGGTAGGAAACCAGGTAGGGGATGAGATGAGAATCAGCACTGGGTGATTGGAGCAAAGTCCAAACATCCTAAGAGCTTTGCACTTACTTTGGCTTTGAGCTGACTTGGGGCAGCATCACCGAGTTGGGGTGGTGAATCAGTATGGGGAAAGGAAAATAGTAGCTGCTTCTCCTTCTCTTTATTCCCTTCCTCCTCCTTTTTCCCCACCTTCACCTTCTCCTCTTTCTCCTCCTCCTCCTTCTTCCCCTCCTTCGCCTTCTCCTCTTTCTTCTCCTCCTCTTTCTCCCACTCCTTAATGCCATGGAAGGAGAAGTAGCAGCAGGTTCTTCCCCTCAATGCACTGCTTCCACCGCCATTCTTGAATTCTCCATCTCCTCCTTCTCCTTTTTCTCTTTCACTTTATTCTTCTCCTCCTCTTTTTGTTCTCTTTCTTCTACCTTAGCAGCCACATGAAGAAAAAAACTACTTCAAGGAAAGGTTCATCCATAGCAGGCTGCCATCATTCTTAAATTCCCCTCCTCCTCCTCCTCCTCCTCCTCCTCCTCCTCCTCCTCCACCTTCACCTCTTTCTCAATCCTTAGTAGCGTTGAGGAAAAGCTGCCATAAGGAAAGGTTTGTTAGTAACAGGTAGCTCCACAGATTGCCAATGCTGGTGCCACCATCACCATATTACAATCTTTCCTGTAATGATCCTTGGATCACTTCAGGTATTTCTCAATAGATACCAAAATGGAGATTTTGTATGGCATAATCAAAGGTCAACAGAGCCTATGGTTTAAGCTGATGGCCTATGTTCAAGTTCATCTTCAGCCATCCACACTCGTTGGATGACTTTGGACTAGTCCTTCTCTCCCGGCCTGCTGTAATATACAGGGTAGTTGCTGTAGGGATAAAACGAGGGAAGATCTTCATGTAATAGTAAAATAATCTTTCAGGACATTAAAAAATATAAAATGAACAAGGATAAACACTGCTCCGAAATTTCAGGGGGGCAGGGTCTTCAACAAAAAAGCAGGGTATGTATGAAATATTTCTTCCCGTACTCTTCATTTTCTCTTCCAAATCGACTATTCTGAAGCTGCTTTTCCTGAAAAGAAATTACTTAATTGACTTCGATGACATTCAGCTTAATGTATAATTTAGTCATAACTCTGTCACTGGAACCAAGGCAAATTCTACGATGAGATGGCCTAAACATAGCAGTTAATATAACTCAATAGGAAGAAGGTAATAAATTGCACCTACTTACAGACTGAAAGTTTGTTTACACCACATGGGTGTAAAGTGCGGCTTTCTCTGCTCTGACAACAGTACACAACATACACGTAGCACTGTGACAGAAATGTGAATTCAGATAAAGAAAACATATTGTATTAGGGCCATACTATAGCACTCCAGACCATGAAGTAACCATGGCAGAAAAACGTGGTCAAATTAGTATAGTTACTTTTCTTGCCTACAAAGATAAAGGTAATGTGGTTTCCTGGTTTTTCTGATTTAGCTCACAAAATACTGTGGTTTTGTTTGTAACAAACGTGCATGCTCTTCCTCCTCCTGCTGAAGTGGTACCTAATAACCATTTCCTAATATTGTAAAAGTTACAAAAAAAGTGTTTCCGCCTCCTCTTCCCGGTGTTTGCCTATCTACCATTTGACATTCTACAAGTCCTGGGAAATTTCAATGACACAGCTTGGAATGGGTTCAGTGACCTCAATCATGCCCTCCCCACCCACTCCAAAACTCCTTTCAATTTGCCAAAAGCTTTAAGTGGACAAAACCCAGATGCCTTTTTCTTGTACTTCAGTAAGAACCCATTGGACTTGTAGATTCCTGTCAAAATGATGTATGTAGTTCATCTTCTATTAACTCTTTCCATGAGGGAAAAGATTTAAAAATCTCAATTGGAGTCCAGCGCTGGGTTTCTTTTCTGAGCTGCTTTATTTTGCAAATTCAGCAGTTCATCAAGAGCAGCATTTCCTCCAAAATGAGTATTAAAAAGCTATCACTGGTCAAAGTTATGAAGTACAGGACATCAAAGACATTACTTGGAAGGGAGTGCAACTGAAATCACAGGGACTTAAACAACATAGGAGGCATTTGTGTTTTGAAATGTTATTCTTCCAAAATACATCTTTAGAATCATTANCGGGACCCCATTTGGGGTCGATCGACCATTTCACGGGGGTCGCCAAGCAAGGCTGTCCGCCATTTTTTTTGTCCATTTTTTTTGTCCGCCATTTTTTTCCCCTTTTCCGGCGGGTGCCTTACCTCCCTTGGGCTGGGCCAGCTGGTGGTCGGCCTGCTCCGTCTCTGCCGCTTGCCAGCTACGCCTCGGCCGGCGCAGGAGTCGGAACCACGCACGCGCGGCGCTCCCGGGCAGGGAAAGTCCTCGACTTACGACCAGTTGGGTAGTCCTCGACCTACGACCGGTTTAGTCCTCGACTTACGACCGGTTTAGTCCTCGACTTACGACTGGTTGGGGTCGCGGCATTAAAAAGGTTGAGAACCACTGATCTAGCTAGAGGTCCCTCCAACAGAAACCGATCCTAGAATATTCTCTCTAACTCGACTGGCCTCAGACAGGAATATAACAGTGTATGCTTAAGAATAGATTGTTATATGTTATGACAGGGGTCTTCAAACTTGGCAACTTTAAGACTTGTGGACTTCAACTCCTAGAATTCCTCAGCCAGCCCTGAGGAATTATGGGAGTTGAAGTCATAAGTCTTAAGTTTGAAGACCCTTGTGTTATGATATGCAGATCACAAAGGGGATTGCAATGTATTTTTATTTTTATTTTTCTCCCTCTCTCTTCTCTTTTTTTTTTTCCCTGTCTCTTTATTTCTCAGAAACATGTGCTGTTAATAATGGAGGTTGTGACCGGACTTGCAAAGACACAGCCACAGGAGTACGCTGCAGTTGCCCAGTTGGATTTACCTTGCAGCCCGATGGGAAAACATGCAAAGGTCAGCTTCTGTTTGCTTTGCGATGTATCACTTCCCTTTATCAGCTTCAGTACCAGAGCTCAAATGCACATAATTATAATCAACTCATGGAGTTTTATACTCTTAACTGTGTTAGAAAAAAATCTGATTGTGTTATTATCACTGCTACTGTTCATTTATTTTGTTATACACAGCTTTTCATAGCGGTCACAATTACGTTTTAAATGATCTATGGAGGGCTGGAGCCAGACTTCATTAGATTGAGAGTGCACTAAAAGAAGTCTTATTGGTTTCCATTAGGCTGCTAAACTGATAGCTAAATCTGGATCCAACCTACTATCTAAGCTTATTTCAGGGTGGATGGAAACATTTTTCTACCATCCTTTAGATCAGGGGTCCCCAACCCCCGGTCCATGGACCAGTACCGGGCCGCAGCATGCCAGCAATCGGTCCGCACAAACAAGCAAAGCCCCATCTGCGGGATGCAGGCAGCAGCACACAAAACCACCCTCCCCCCTTGTCCACGTAAAAACCTCTCTCCACGGAACCGGTCCCTGGTGCCCAAAAGGTTGGGGTCATCTGCTTTGGATATTTCCCATACTTTAGTCAATAAATGATATATAACAAACTAAGAAAAAGAGGGAAATATGACATTTCATGTTGCAAAAGTTTGTATTTATTCTATTTTAAAAACTACTTCCATTCAGGAGATTTAAATAGGAATGTTTCATTGAGTATTTGCAGAATGAAATGATGCCATATTTATATTTGTGTGGATTTAATATGATTTAATATCACTGTTATAGTTACTGTAATTAATAATTATAAACAATGATTAACTGATATAATAAGATAATTTAAGTTATATCACCAGTTTTAGTGATTTCATTGTGGATATTTGTTATAATCAATGTACCAAAATACAGACTGCCAGAAGACCATAGGTACTAGTCAGAATAATAAATAAATGGACCTAATTTCTAGATGCTCACTATAGCAGAAGAAGTTATAAATTGTGCATTTGTGTTACTTGATAAGCAGTTATTCATCAATTTTTTTACTTATTTGTTTATTCATTTATTATCAGTTTTTATGCTGTCTGAAACACACAACTCTGCATATATTGTCTGTCTGACTAATGTGAGTCTTCCAGATATAGGCTTTTCCCAGTCGTGCCCAGTCCTTTTGGCAAGAAATGCCAAGGCTGAACATGGGGGCATCTGTGATCTGAGAATGTGCTCTTGACTTGTAATCTGTTCCAGCCAGTTCATCAGGAAAATGCACTTTTCTTAAAGGACTATTTATAATCCAATCTGGATATATAGGTACATGAATATAACTCAAAATAAATTATTGAGGCTGGTGGTAATTTGTTGAAGAGCAGGCCTTCAGATGAATAGAAATATTCCATATTTTTATTTGGATATAAGTCTTCATAACTTGGATCTTTGAGACAGATGAGAGCCATGATGGCTCAGTGGTTAGAATGCAGCATTGCAGGCAAACTCTGCCCACAGCCTGGAGTTGACTCAGCCTTCCATCCTTCTGAAGTTGGTAAAATGAGGACCCAGATTGTTGGGGGCAATATGCTGATGTTGTAAAGCACCCAGAGAGTGCTGTAAAGCACTATGGAGAGGTATATAAGTCTAAGTGCTATTGCTCAAAGGACGTTCTAAGAATAATTTCCCCTTAAAATTTGCTTCTCATTAATCTCTGAAAAATAGAGAGCCACTTTGGGGAACTATGGGATAATGTGACAGAAACAAAGCTATGCGGTGGGGCCTTTTCCTAGATACGTATGCCTAAAATTGAACTTTTAACCAATTTTACTGACTTGCAATGTTGTATGAACAACGAGAAGATCTATATACGTACAATTCAGCAGCAACTACAGCATCCTTTGGCCAAAGGTTTTTTTTTTCTCCTATAATAATTATAATCCTAGACCAACTGTATAATCTTTTATTTAAAAAATTATTCTAGTCTTCACCAGAAGTGTTAATGTACAATTCCTATGCCTCAAGCCAAAGTGATCTAGCCGCGGTGGCGGGCAATCTAACTAATATTATAACTCAACATTGAATACATATTCAGAAATCATATTTTATCAATAATTAATATAGCTTTTTTTGGCAGATGCTTCAATTCAATTCATTGTTGCACATACTTAGTATGTTAGAAGTACAGGGTGACTTGCCACTGCACTATTAGTAATGCCCTTTGGAAGATGCTTTGAACATCCCCGTTGTTGGTGAATTTAGAACCAGACCTTGTTTGGAAATGCAATGTTATGGTTTTGTTAATAAGAAGGCAGGGATCCATTGAGAATTAAATTCACTACTTGTAAAAACCTTATCTTAGTTAAAGAGGCAAGGTTCTGATTCTATTTTAAATATTTCTACCTCATTTATTTGAATCAATAGTAGGTTCAAAATAATATTTCTTCATGAACAAACAACTACGTTTGGATTTTTTTTACTGTTTAAGATTATGTAAATTATGAAGTCTGTGAATGATCTCTGAATGATAGAGTTTTCTAAATGTATCATTTTGCTAAATGAAATTTAAATATTTCCCAACAAGTCTTAATTTTACCTATATCCATGAAAACGTTATGCAGGTAGTCCTTGACATACGACCACAATTGAGCACAAAATTTCTATTGCTAAGCGAAACACTTTTTAAGTGAATTTGGCCCCATTTTATGACCTTCCTTGCCACAGTTGTTAAGTGAATCACTGTGTTTGTTAAGCTAGTAACAGGGTTGTTAAGTGAATCTGGCTTCCTCGTTGACCTTGTTTGTCAGAAGGTTGCCAAAGGTGATCACATGATCCCAGGACACTGCAAGTGTCATAAATATGAGCCAAGTGCCAAGCATCCGAATTTTGATCACGTGACCGTGGTGTTGCTGCAGTGATCGTAAATGTGAAAAACAATCATAAGTCTCTTTTTCAGTGCCATAACTTTGAACAGTCACTAAATGAATTGTTGTAAGTTGAGGACTATCTGTAGTGGTTATCTAGTAACGGTCATGGTACATTTGGGATCCGAAATGTCTAAAGCAGGGGTAGGCAACCTTGGCTCTTTTATGACTCGTGGACTTCAACTTCCAGAATTCCTGAGCCAGCTATGCTGGCTCAGGAATTCTGGAAGTTGAAGTCCACGAGTCATAAAAGAGCCAAGGTTGCCTACCCCTGGTCTAAAGGGTGTGGTCAAATACAATTGAAGGTCGACTGATTTTTGCATTTGGTGGACATCTCCTATCTGGGTTCCAGCTATTCTTGTAATGTCAGCATCTAAAAAAAATGTTAAAGTTGAGCTAGGGAAGAAATGTCAAAGATGGGTGAAAAATATGTGTGTAGGAAGATACCGTAACAATACAGTTTTAATCTTAAAATTGTCCATTGCATAAAGAAAGTGGATAAAAGATTTCTTTTTTCTTTTTTTGGATTAATACAGTAAAACTGTCTGCTGAAAAAATTGGATCATAGATAAATATTTCCCTGGACATTTCTTTATAAACTATGGAATTTGTGGCCAACAAAATTTGATAGTAGTTAGGTTTTGTTGGTGGCTATAAACGTTGGCAGTTCTATGCCACTTCTTGTAATCTATGCCATATGTTAGTTGCTGGAGATGGTTGAGAAAAGAGATACCTAGATCGTTATGAAAGAAGAATTCAAGGGGTCTGTGGTTTGGCTTTCTCTGTGTTCCTGTCAGGAGGGGCAGAATCTGAGGCAATGGAAAAGTAGCATCCATGTCTTATTGAATGATCTTGAAGAAGATTGATTACATAAATTGTTACAATTACTCTCATGAGTATCCACTAGCAAGGTTTAAAGAAGTCAAGATGGGGTACAATTGAAACCGTCATCTTTTCTTTTTTTTGACAGCCAGATTTTTTAATTTAATTTAATTTTTTCCCAGACAGTCTATGATTTTCCTTTAATTTCTTATATCTTCCTCCCTCCCCTTAATTATTACTGACAAAATATTTGTGCTGCCTTCACTTACAAGCCCAGTGGCATCTAATATATTTAAAAGACAATAAAATATAAAGGGCAAATGGATTCTCTCTTTTGATTCCAAGCAATTGCTATGACCAAGCCAAAAAAGCTTTCCATTTTTTTTCCTTTGGTGGTTTGCAAAATTTTGTTTGTGTATGCCTCAATGGCACACTATTATTTTTGTACGTCTGTAGGTAGCAGAAGATCCAAGTCAGCCCCTTAGTGATCAGTTTTTGCTGCAAAGACCATTTTTAATTATTTCATTCCAGTCTCCCTCTTGAAGATGCAACTATCCTAGATAGAGTTTCCACTCCTTACCACCTCCAATGTGGATGTAAATAAAGACAGAATGCCTTCCTCATTTTCCCGAGTCTTCTCTAGGACAGGGGTCCCCAACGCCCAGTCCGTGGACCAGTACCAAGCCACGGCATGCCAGCAACCGGTCCACACAAACAAGCAAAGCCCCATCTGCAGGATGCAGGCAGCACACAAAACCACGGCCCCTACACTCCGTGGAAAAACCTCTCTCCATGGAACCGGTCTCTGGTGCCCAAAAGGTTGGGGACCTCTGCTCTAGGATATGATCTTTGCCTTGGAAGTAGAGAGTTACTAACTTCCCAGAAACAACACAACTGGGTGGGGTTGCAATTAGCCCAAAGAGGCACAGGCTGATTTGACTAAATTCAAACCATTTTGTGAGTTGCTCAGCCACAGCCTGGTCATGTAGCACATGCTGGATTAGCTCATACTAATGTGAGTAGCTCAAAGGCTTTTTCAAGGTCAAGGAAAGCCAAGTGGCTTCCCCTTTTCTCAGAGTTTCTCCATGAGCATGCAAGCCATGAAAATGGTGTCAGTGATGCTAAAAACTTTGACAAAGCTGCATTGATTGGTACTGATTTTCACGGTGTTACATAAGCGGTGGTCGAGGATCCGCTTTCATTGTATGTGATAGGAAGCAAATTAGGTGATAGAGCAATCTGCCAGGTCACCTTTATTCTTGAAGAGAGGAACTGT